AGTGCCACACACGTTCCACATAATTTATTAGCTTTAAGTTTGTCTTCCTGTTATATGTTTGTTATGTGTTATATATATTGGAGAGGATGCCTCTTCCCCCTATACAAGGATAATTCCTAAAGAACATTGGAGATATCTCTTCTGTAGATCCCTTCAAGGGTTATTGATGTCCATCTAAATGAAGTTGCCTAGAGCAGTACCACAGCCAATTCCTGAAAGAAGGAACTGGAATGTGCATAGTTTGTTCTACACCTATTGGGATGAAGATGGCACAGTTAAAGCCACACTATGCCAAAATTTATACAGTTGGCAATTTATCAGCTGCACATCTGTGGGAAGGGACTGGCTTGGTTTTCTTACCAATAATTAACCTTCTGGGTGGGTCTCTTGTCACTACCTGTACACTGCATATTGTTTTAGGATGAGATTGGTAACCTGACTCATTATCTGAGTTCAAAGCTTTCTGTTGAAATATGTAAACTTGCAGGTTAGAATATGCTTTAGCAAACTAAACATTAAGTTTTGCTTAATCACGTTCTGTTACTTTAATCTCTCTGAATCTAGTAAAATGACCCTTATAACTTACAATGGTGTTACTTAACGCTGATGTATACGTCTCAAGCTATTCTCCCTTTCCAAGACATGTAACTAGCTATAGGGAAGATGTGGCAGTGATTTGAAGTTCTTTGATGTGAATTGGGATGTCAAAGACTGGAAAGGAAGTGTATGCATTGTTCTTACACCTTTCTCCCTATTTGGAAGTATCAGCTCTTCTGCAATAAATAGTTGTAATTAATTTAAGCGTGTTTTAGATAGGCTGGTAGATAGTGCTGGGGAGGAGCCAGTGGTCATGGTGCATGTCGGCACCAACGATGTGGGGAAATGCAGTCGTGAGGTCCTGGAGGAGAAATTTAGGCTGCTGGGCAGGAAACTTAGGTCCAGGACCTCCAAGGTAGCCTTCTCAGAAGTGTTACCTGTTCCACGCGCAGGGCCGGAGAGACAGGCAGAGATCAGGAGTCTCAATGCGTGGATGAGACGATGGTGTAGGGGGGAAGGGTTCAGGTTTGTTAGGCACTGGGATACTTTTTGGAACAAGAGGGAGCTGTACAGGCGAGACGGTCTCCACTTGTCCCAAGAAGGAACCAGGCTGCTGGCACTTAAAATCAAAAAGGTGGCAGAGCAGCTTTTAAACTGAATATTGGGGGAAAGCCGACAGGAGATGAAAAGTCTCTGGTTCGGGTTGGCTCATCTCAGAGAGATGAGGGGGTACCTGTTGCTTTTCTACAGGGAGGTGGATTGAAATTGTCCACAGAGGCCATGGCTGGTGACATGGACTGCCGGACAACGACTCGAGATAGCAAGAGGAAGGATGCAGGCTTAACTTGTAAGGGAAATTACAGCTGTTTCTATACAAATGCTAGAAGTGTCCGAGGTAAAATCGGGGAGTTGGAGTGCTTGGTGAGGGAGGGAAAAATAGACATTGTGGGTATTTCTGAAACTTGGTGGGATGAGGAAAATCAGTGGGACACAGTGATTCCCGGTTATATATTATATCGGAAGGATAGGGGGGGAAGGGTTGGAGGTGGGGTAGCTCTGTATGTCAGAGAGGGTATAAAGTCTAGAAAGATTGAGAGGCTAAGTGAATTGGATTCGCTTCTGGAAGTTCTATGGGTTGAAATAGGGGGGCCAAAAGGAAACTTAACACTGGGAGTTTGTTATCGCCCACCAGATCAAAAGATAGAGGAGGATTATAAAATGATGAATGCCTTAAAGATAGCAACTAGACAAAAACACTGTGTAATAATAGGTGATTTTAACTACCCACACATTGATTGGGTCAATATGTGTTCTAGCCGGGAAAAAGAGATTGAGTTTCTAGACACTCTAAATGACTGTGCTATGGAGCAGATGGTCACGGAACCTACCAGGGGAGAGGCGATCCTTGATTTGGTCCTAAGTAACACTCAAGACCTGGTGAGAGATGTAAAAGTGATTGCACCGCTTGGAAACAGTGATCATAATGTTGTTGAGTTCATCATTTGTACAAATAGAGAATTGGCCAAAAAGACTCACACAACCATTTTTAACTTTAAAAGGGGTAATTTCTCTGATATGAGGGGACACGTGGGGAGGAAACTGAAAGGAAAAGTAGAAAGGGTCAAAACAATTGGGGAAGCTTGGGATCTATTTAAAACTACGATCCTAGAAGCTCAAAAAATATATATTCCGCAGGTTAGGAAAGGCACAAACAGGTATAGGAAAAAGCCTGCATGGTTAACAAACAGAGTAATGGAGGCTGTAAAAAGTAAAAAGAATTCCTTTAAGCAGTGGAAAGCTAGTCACAGTGAGGCTGATAAAACGGAACACAGGCTATGGCAAATAAAATGCAAGTCTGAGGTCAGGCAGGCAAAAAGGGAATATGAGGAGCATATAGCAAAAAACGTAAAAACCAACAATAAAACTTTCTTCAAATACATTAGAAACAGGAAACCAGCCAGGGAGGCAGTGGGGCCCTTGGACGACCAAGGGGTAAAAGGAGTATTGAAGGATGATAGGGAAATGGCTGAGAAGCTAAATGCATTTTTTGCCTCCGTCTTCACTGTGGAAGATGAGAAGTGCTTGCCCACTCCAGAACCACTGATTTCAGGAGGGGTGTTGAAAGACCTGAGTCAGATTGAGGTGACGAGAGAGGAGGTCCTAAAACTGATAGACAACTTAAAAACTGAAAAATCACCAGGCCCAGATGGCATACATCCGAGAGTTCTGAAAGAACTCAAATGTGAACTTGTAGATCTCCTGACAAAGATATGTAATCTTTCCTTAAAATCTGCCTCCATTCCTGAGGATTGGAAGGTAGCTAATGTCACTCCCATCTTTAAAAAGGGTTCCAGAGGAGATCCGGGAAATTACAGGCCAGTCAGTCTGACGTCGATACCGGGTAAATTGGTGGAAACCATTATTAAGGAAAGAATTAGTAGGCACATAGATGAACAAAACCTATTGAGGCAGACTCAGCACGGTTTCTGTAAGGGAAGATCTTGTCTCACTAACCTGTTAGTGTTCTTTGAGGGGGTGAACAAACATGTGGACAAGGGGGATCCAATAGATATTATTTACCTTGACTTCCAGAAAGCTTTTGATAAAGTTCCTCATCAAAGGCTCCTAAGTAAGCTCAAAAATCATGGGATAGAAGGACAAGTCCTTTTATGGATCAAAAACTGGCTAGTTCATAGAAAACAGAGAGTGAGTGTAGGTGGGCAATTTTCTCAGTGGAGGGTGGTAAGCAGTGGGGTACCGCAGGGATCAGTACTTGGTCCACTGCTTTTTAACTTGTTCATTAATGATTTGGAGATGGGAGTAAGCAGTGAAGTGGCTAAATTTGCGGATGATACAAAGTTGTTCAGGGTGGTGAAAACCAGTGAGGATTGTGAGGCACTCCAAGGGGATCTGTCAAGGATGGGCGAGTGGGCGTCAACATGGCAAATGGGGTTCAATGTGGCCAAGTGCAAGGTGATGCACATTGGAGCCAAAAATCCTAAATATAAATACACATTGATGGGGTCTGAACTGGCAGAGACTGAGCAAGAGAGAGATCTTGGAGTTGTAGTGGATAACTCACTGAAAATGTCGAGACAGTGTGTGACTGCAATAAAGAAGGCCAATGCTATGCTGGGGATTATTAGGAAGGGTATTGAAAACAGATCAGCCAATATAATAATGCCCCTATATAAATCAATGGTGAGACCTCATTTGGAATACTGTGTGCAGTTCTGGGCACCACACCTTAAAAAGGATATTATAGCTTTGGAAAAAGTGCAGAAAAGGGCAACTCGAATGATAAAAGGGTTGGAACACTTTCCCTATGAGGAAAGGTTAAAGCGCTTAGGGCTCTTTAGCTTGGAGAAAAGACGACTGAGGGGTGACATGATCGAGGTTTATAAGATTATGCATGGGAAAGAGCAGGTAAAGAAAGAGGTACTTTTCTCCCTTTCTCACAATACAAGAACTCGTGGGCACTCCATGAAACTGCAGAGCGGTCGGGTTAGAACGGATAAAAGGAAGTACTTCTTCACCCAAAGAGTGATTAACACATGGAATTCACTGCCACAGGAAGTGGTGGGTGCTACAAGCATGGACGGCTTCAAAAGGGAATTAGATAAGCATATGGAGCAGAGGTCCATCAGTGGCTATTAGCCACAAGGTATAGCTAGGGGCTCTGGGGCAAGTGATGCTCTGTCTTCTTGGTGCTTGGGGGGGGGGTCAACAGTGGGAGGGCTTCTAATGTCCTGGCCCCACTGCTGGACCTCCTGATGGCACTGGTATTTCTGGCCACTGTGTGACACAGAGTGTTGGACTGGATGGGCCTTTGGCCTGATCCAACATTGGCGTCTCTTATGTTCTTATGTTCTTAAATGTAGGAGCAGGACCAGGGTACTTTAATCCATCAGGGA